ATTTTTCGTTTCTCTTCTCCTTTGATTCTAATAGTAGCTTTTGATTAATATGCATGCGGATGTAACCTGTTTAATTTTAGGGATTCGTGAATCAGTTGGATTTTGGAAAATTCTGATCAAGAAAATGGTTGTTGAGTTTGACTGTGCTTTTATGCGTGAAATTGTTCCTCCTCAAAATTTGACCTTATAAGTTTTATCCCTTTGGTGAGTGGTTGATCTGCTCGATGGAGTGGTTGAACTTTTACATCTAACAAGATTTAACTTGGAGAACTGTGCATCGGTGTACTTGAAAATGTTTATTGACAGAATTTGTGATCATATCAGGATTGTAAGCTACTTGGAACTGAATTTGTCTGCTGGGAAATTTTTTGGTGTGTAAAGTTGGTGAAATTGTAGATTTATGCCGTTTTGTTTTACTAATAGTTGCTGTGGTTAAAAAACCTTACCAAACCTTATTTCCAATGTGTTTTGATGCATGTGCCATTTCAAGTTGGTTATGAGCATGAATTCCCTCTGATTTCTTTGCAAGGTTTTTGTGCATTCCAGGCTGCATTTGGATGATCCAATGAAAATTTTAAATTAACTTACCTCTTACTTAAATGCTGCAATTTCATGAATTTAAGAAATTGATATCATGGCAATGATGATGATGATGATGATGGTCATCAGTGCATTCCTAGAGCTTTTTTTTCTTCCTTCACATGCCATATTCAATCTTGAAGGGAAATACTCATATGCAATAGAAATGAGAGTCTGCTTTGGAGCCAGCATTTTAGATTTAAAGACAAAAAAATTAGATGACAATATATGTTACTGGTTTAGAAGACTTGACAAATGCCTGGTAAGACACAATCAAAAGATTTGTGGTTCATAATATTTGGACCTCAAACCAACTTATAGTGGAAAAGTGAAATGCATTTTGCTTCTGTTTTTTGTTCTGGCAATTACTTTCATCTATCTAACCAAATAATTGTGCTCTGCCTGTTTGCATTTTTGTTGTATTAATTTGCAGCCTCAATACCTACAATGCTTGTAAAGCTTTTGTTAAGCTGTTTTTTGATCGAATTGTCTTTAGACAATTGTATTTATTATGCTTCCTTGAATTTCTAGATTTGGAGTTTACAAATTAGAGACAATTCTCAAAGGATTGAACCATGAGTTGCTTTGGCTGTTGCGAAGAGGATGATTTCCACAAAGCCGCTGATAATGGAGGCCAATACATGGTTAAAAATTCAGCAGGTAATCCTGTGGTTGATATTCACATCGAGGCTGATAAATTTGCATATACAATCTTTGTGAATCTTGCTTAAATAGTTCTGCATCATCTATATAGTGAACTAGTTGAATGAATCATGATTAGTAGGATGGCATAAACTCCTTTGATCTTTGTGTCCATAGACCATATTCAAATGGACTTTACTTATAGTTTGTTTATCTATTGGAGTAATCTGGGTTGAATTTGCCCACTCAGGAAATGATGGAGGTTACCATGCATCTGAAACTGCATCAAAGGTTGGTCAAACTGTGAAGGTTCAGCCTATTGAAGTCCCTGCTATTCCAGCAGATGAATTAAAGGAAATCACAGATAACTTTGGGACAAATTCTCTGATTGGTGAAGGTTCATATGGTAGAGTTTATTATGGAGTTCTTAAAAGTGGGCAGGCTGCAGCAATCAAAAAGTTAGATGCCAGCAAGCAACCTGATGATGAGTTTTTAGCCCAGGTTTGGTTGACAGCTATAATAACCTCATTTACTGGATCTGTGATATTTATTCAGATTTTTATCTACTGATGCATTGATATTCAGGTTTCCATGGTATCAAGGTTGAAGCATGAAAACTTTGTTCAATTGCTTGGTTACTGTGTTGATGGGAGCTCCCGTATACTTGCCTATGAGTTTGCGTCTAATGGATCGCTGCATGATATTCTACATGGTATGTTTGATTATGCTTCACGTATTGCTCCAGTTATACAAAGCTGTTACCATTGAGGAGCATAGTCATGCTTGAAGCAAGGATCTCTTCTTATCCTATTATAAAAGTTAATGATAAAGTTTCTTCCTCCATTGACCAAAAAAAAAAGAAAAACGAGCTGTGGCTTGTAATATTTACAGGTTGTGCTGTTAATATTGCAAAATTATTATTCCTTTAATGCAGGGAGAAAAGGTGTTAAGGGAGCTCAGCCAGGCCCTGTTCTGACATGGGCACAAAGAGTAAAAATTGCTGTAGGAGCCGCAAAAGGGCTTGAGTATTTGCATGAGAAGGCTGATCCTCACATCATTCATCGTGACATTAAGTCCAGCAATGTGCTAATATTTGATGATGATGTGGCCAAGATCGCAGACTTTGATTTATCTAATCAGGCTCCTGATATGGCAGCCCGTCTTCATTCCACTCGTGTGCTTGGAACCTTTGGTTATCATGCTCCTGAGTAAGTCATTAGTGCATTCACTTCATACTACCATCTTTTACATTTATTTTGACAAAGATCCTTTTTTTGTTGATAACATGTGGCTTTGGACACACTTAGTTGCTGAACAACTAATGACGTAATATTTTATGAAGCAATCATGGATTGCACTATGGAACCTAAAATAGAGTAGATTTTCTTTTGATTATTGAGACGTTTCAGGGAACAGTTGGAAATTTTGAGCATAAGTTTAATATATTATATTTCTTCTTCTACAAAGCTTGATTTCAGAATGCATGCCTTGAACATTGGCTGTCTGTTCTTGTTGTTGGCAGATATGCAATGACTGGGCAATTAAATGCCAAGAGTGATGTTTACAGCTTTGGTGTTGTGCTGCTTGAGCTTCTAACTGGGAGGAAACCTGTTGATCATACTTTACCCCGTGGACAGCAAAGTCTTGTGACATGGGTACTTTTCTGCTACCATAGTTTTTTTTTATACAGCCTGTGTTTCACTATTAAAATTTTCAGACCTGGCTGATTAATGAGAGTATTGAATTGTTTTAGGCTACACCAAAACTTAGTGAAGACAAGGTTAGGCAGTGTGTTGATCAAAGACTAGGAGGAGAGTATCCTCCCAAGGCTGTCGCAAAGGTATTAATATGCTTGGTTGCACATGGTGATGTCTGTTTTTGTTAGCACATTTTTTTGTTAACGTTTCTCCTTCCCTCAAGTTTTCAAGTAATGCTAATTATAAGAGGCTGCAATGATCCAAATTTATTTTTAATTGTATTCTTATTTGCTAGAAAAGAAAAAAGAGGTGGCACACATTGTGTACATTGGTAATTAGATTCTAGATGCCCCCTTTTCTTTTTTTAAGATAATTTTTAAGCTTTAAGTGAAAGTATACCACGTAAGTGATACGGTGCAAGTCTAGATGGAAAAAAAGATGTTATTTGACAGCTCCAGAGAGTTGTTTGAGCATAGAAAGATACAGTTTTCCATTTTGAAAATTAACATCTCCCAGTAGGATAGGAGTGGTATAGAGTAGTAATGACTGCTTTGCCAGTAAGGTGAATCAGAATAATAGAGAGTTGGAAAAAATAAAATAAAATCTTCTGGATGGCCTCTCTAGCTCGTCTGAAATACAACTTTGTTTTAAAGCTTAAACTTATCTTGGCCTGACTCTCCCAGACTGGTGTCCTCACTGAATGACAATGTCAGCCGTGCCTAAAGTATTTTGTTGTTTTGATTACAGATGGCTGCTGTTGCTGCGTTGTGTGTGCAATATGAAGCTGATTTTCGGCCAAATATGAGCATCGTTGTCAAAGCTCTTCAACCCCTGTTAAATGCACGACCTGGACCTGCTGGTGAAACACCAAGCACATAATGATATCTATTTCTCTTTCACTCGTCCCTCTTTCTATCTCTCTGTGCCTGTGTGTGCGGGAAGTGTTCACACATTCAAGTGTCCAAATATATATAATGAGGGGACAATTTTAGAAGGTGATGATAAATTTGTTTATTCAAAGTTCCATATGCATCCATTATACACTTTGTATTCGATTTGTTCATATTGTGTGAGGTTGTTTCTTTCTTGCATATATGTTGATGGTCGCCTTCCTGTTCATCTTGAAGTTTCTTACCTTTGATGGAATGGATATCATTCCTTTTGTGAACAAATGGTTATGCACCTTTGATTGCCTGGATAACAAGAAATCACCAAGAAAGACAGGAAATGGCGGCTTCATGGTTTTCCTGAAATGCCATATGGTATATAGAATCATCTTTGTCCTTCACGTTGAACATCTTATGCATTGGTCTGTATCTGAAGAAAAGAATGAAAAATAGTTAAAAAAAAAAAACCGTTGTTTAGCGAGTAATGATTTGCAAAGATCACTTTACAGATGGAAAGGCTAGATATGGACAGATCCAAATGCGTTGAACACTTGAGAAAAGAATAATGGCATTTGTTGGCTTTAGGTCTACTTGTCCCATCTTTATATCTCATGGGCAACACAACTTTAAAGAACAGTCAATTATTAAAGTGAAGTTAATGGAAATCCCCTGACCGGCCCTGGCTTGTTAATCACTAATGACGTAATTAACTTTCATTGGGCCTGCTATAATTTAAACGTAAAACCACTAGCTGATAACTGAGCAGGTGAACCAATTGAGCCTTTTTGATATTAATACTATAAATCATGAAAGTATAGGCAAATTATTCGGAGTTGGGAGATATTGGGCACTGATTAACATCCCACAATTAAGATGCTAAAACAGTAACACGCCAATTTGGACTTTTGAGAGGTTGGTAGCAATTGACGCGTACAGTGATGAAAACACACATGTATAGTCATTAATTTTCTCTTTTTGCTTGACTTGCGCATATGCAGTCCTCGCAAGACCCAAACAGTGAATAAAGAAAATAAAATATTAGTTCTGTAATAAAAAAACGTTATAAGTAAAAATAATAATAATAATAATAAAAAAAAAAGACAAGCGACGAGGATATCCCTAGCCCCACGTTTCACCTTCAATTGAATCGTGAAGTTAACTTAATGCAGCGTTGACTGTACATACCCCTAATTTCTACCTCACCAAGTCACCATGTCGTAAACGAAGGGTTAGAAAAGTAAATGCAAGAATACCCCTTCGATATTAGATCCTCCGGAGCCATTTCGACTGGCAGTGTACTAATTCTAATTTTTATTTTTTCTCTTCTAACTCGTCTAACTCACTCCAAAGGAGAACGAAAGAAGAAAAATTGCAGAGCCAAGCAAAGAATCAAAGCAAAATTTTGCTAGATGCTATCCTGCGCCTAACCACTTTTATCATTCTATCGTGCGCCACACATGGGAGGAGATGTAACCGGAGCGATCACCACCACCACCACAGCCGCAGCCGCCGTCGCCACCACGGCGGGCCCACCTTACGGTGGAGGCACGGCTGAAGCTCAGTACGTTGCGGCGAAGACGTCGGTTTGGTGGGACATTGAAAACTGCCAGGTCCCCAAAAGCTGCGACCCGCACGCGATCGCGCAGAACATTAGTTCGGCGTTGGTTAAGATGAACTACTGTGGGCCCGTTTCCATCTCCGCCTACGGCGATACCAATCGGATTCCTTCTTCTGTACAGCAGGCGCTTTCAAGCACCGGCATCGCACTCAATCATGTCCCCGCCGGTAACTTAATCTAAATCCCTAACTTCCTTTATTTCTTGAATAACTGTAAATTAATCTTGAATTATTTTTTTTTAATTTTGTTAATTGTGCAATGATTACGAGGTGTTACGGAATTTGTAAGAAATTTATCATTGTTATTCTTTACTGATCTTAAAAACTGACTTACTGTGCTGTGATCTAGGGTTTTAGCTTTCTATTTGGAAATTAAAATTAAGATGTTATAGAAAAAGGATGTTGATTAGTTGATGTTTATGTACGAGCAGGTGTGAAAGATGCAAGTGATAAAAAGATTCTTGTAGATATGCTGTTTTGGGCAGTGGACAATCCTGCTCCTGCGAATTATCTGTTGATTTCTGGCGATAGGGATTTTTCTAATGCGCTACATCAGTTACGTATGAGGAGATATAATATTCTTTTGGCACAGCCCCAGAAGGCATCTGCACCCCTTGTTGCTGCAGCCAAGAGTGTATGGCTTTGGACAAGTCTCTCGGCTGGTGGTCCTCCTCTTTCGAGTGGTGAATCGTCTAAACTTGCTAATGGTCACATTAGTTTTAACTCCGAAATGTTGTACAACCCGCTGCCCGAAATGGTTCAGTATAGTCAACCAATGGTTTTTAGTTCTGAAAATGTTGCATTGGGGAATCAAAATGTTTCTAATGCTGGAAGGAATGGTGATAGCAAATATAAAGGGAAATATATCAGGAAAACCCCGAATCAGCCAAGCATATCAAGAGCCTCTAGTGTGCCAACAACTAGCATTCAAGAAACTATGAACAATGGTTACTCTTACCAGCCAGAGTATGCACAGGCAAAGTCCTTTAAGAAAGCACCACATGAGTTTTTTGGTGGCAGTGAAGCAGCTGTCTCTGCAAGCAAATCTACTCCAAACTTCTTTCCTAGTAATCCTAACCCTCCGGGGAGTAACAATGGTAATTTCATGGGCATTCATCAGAATTATCCTCATTCCTTGAGGCCGAATAACCTTCCTGTGCAACCTGCTTTTGCACAGGAAAATTTGCTACCTCCTAATTCACAAAATCATGGTTTCCGCCCAATGCCTCCTAGAGTGGAGGGGCCTAGATTTTCGGCTCCACTCTCAAATATGCCTGATATTGGTAAGTTAAATATCTCTGAACACTCCACCTATGCTCAAAATCCTTCTAATTTTCATCATCGAATTGGAGAAGAGTTTAAAACAAGCTCTATCGAGTCATTGCCTAATCAAGCTAGCCTAAATGCGCCACAAAAGAGTCTTGTGTTGCACAGTGGTCAAGCGAGTCAGCATGATACTTTTAATAATAGGTATCAACGGAGTCCTGAATTTCCACCTCCATCGTCCTCAGCAATTTCTAATTCTCCAAGCAATGGTACTTGGGGAACTCAAGGACGCTCACCACCTTCTGAATATGTGCAAGGTCTCATTGGTGTTATCTTACTTGCATTAAACACACTCAAAATTGAAAAAATTATGCCTACTGAAGCAAATATTACTGATTGCATTCGATATGGAGATCCAAAACACCGCAATACTGATGTAAGGAAGGCTTTGGATAGTGCAATTGAGCAACATATGGTATTGAAGCAAAGTTTAGGTGCATTGCAGTTGTATGTTGGTAGAAATGAGAAACTATGGAAGTGTGTGAATCCTATTGGTGGGAATCCTAATCAGTACTCGAAGACAACGTGGGATGGAATACAAAAGTTTTTATCAACCCCTGCTGGACGATTAGCAATGATGGCTTCTCAATGCAGGTAATGGTGCTTGATCATCTTCTCTCTCTCTGCCTCTCTCTTATTTTTCCTTTTTTAGTGGTGCTAACTTTTACTGGGCGGTTCCCTTAGCTTAAGTTTGTTATCAACTCTGCAGATATGAAGCAGCTTTGGCTTTAAAAGATGCATGCTTGGAGGAGTTTGCTCTAGGTGATGTTCTTCAGATCTTGAATATGGTAATTGCCATGAAGAAATGGATTATACATCATCAGTCAGGATGGCAACCGATTACCGTTACCCTTCCAGAGACTAAGATGGAAATGGGTACTGGTACTGCTGCTTGACCTGATCAAGAGTGGTTCTGGTAGTCAAAGTGGCCCTAGGGTGATGAAAGATGGTAAGAAGTGTATTGGGGGGTAAGAAAAAAGGGTCACTTAGAAAGAAAATACAATCATCAATTATCAAGAAAGTTAGTGGCAGACTCTGATTTTTGGATCATTAGTCAAGTAAGTAGGATAGGTGTTTCTCTTTTATGTTTTTTTCTTTTCTTTTTTCTATTATTGTTTGCTGCAAGACTATAATGGGGATCTGCAGGAGGGGATAGAAAATCTTAAGATGATGGAGTTAGATTGGAAATTTTCAGGATCAGGAGCAGAGTTAAGTAATAAGTTCATTCTCTGCGTCATAAGGCTGCTTTGCAAAGAGTTTTTGAGCCTGTGCTATGTGGATTTGGTATATTACAAGCTATCCCTAATATGTTTGGTTGTCGCTGGTATTGCTTAATTAGTTACATGCAAAAGGCTTTCTTCACTCCAGCACAATACGTTCGGAATTTAACTGCTCAGGATAGTGGTAATCTTTTTGTTTCAGCAGATAATTCCATGTTGCTGTATGAGCTTGGACTAGTTTCAACATGTATATACCATATGCAGTATCTCCACCCATATCATCAGACTCTTATGGAATCTTTTCGAAGATGTACTGAGGCTTCCAGAACCTGTTGGACAGGTTCTTGTTCAACTGCTGCATAATGGGGCTTAGTAGTGATGGATGTCACAGACGTGGTCAAGATTGACACAATTATTGACATTATAGAAGCTTCCAAAGTATTTTGATGTTGGATTTTATTTGGAGGTTGCTAAGCTCTTGGCAATCGGTACGCATCGCATGGAAGTATGATTAGGGAGCTTTATTCCTAGTATTACAGTTTAAGTACACTATGCATTTATGGGCCATGGAATAGATGGCCATACTTATCAACTAAAGTGAATGTTTTAGCTTGAACCTTGTGTTGTTACCGTGGCTGATGGTTGTATCCTTGATTTTTATCTTGAACACACTTGTAAATGTTTTGTGTTGAAGTCAACACTTTGCTTGTCTTGTAGCCATTCGCTTTAGTTAATCATGTAATTTCTGCGTTAGGTTAACTCTTGTTATTTAATCGGATTTATACTCATCAAATATGTTTGATAGCACGACAAGAGAAAAGAAGGAATAGGGTTTGAAGAAAAATGTTTTCTTTTTTCCGTTTGATTTAAGGAAAAGAAATACATTGATTTGAATATCTTTTTTCTTTTTTTTTTTTTCTAATTTGAGAAAAAAAAACTATTTCATTTCTTTTCAAATTAATTTACTTCTTTTTTTTTCATTTTGCATATTAAAATCTTTATTTTAATTCTTCATATTAGATACTAATTTTTCTTCACCGTTAATAAGGTCGGATCCTTTGAACTCGTCCGTCACCTTTTATTGTTACGCTGTTGCCCGTCCCCATCCATTGCGCCATGCACGTGCTGGCGTCGTTGAATACTAAATGACCTCGAGAATTAAGTAATAATAATTAAAAATTTCTCCATTAAAATGCTACAGCCCAGCTGATTCGAGGGGACTTTTCGTTGTCGAATAAACAACTTCTCTGTCCATAGAATAGAATGACAAGTTGGCGATATTATCTCAATCACTTCTCTTTGTGGTGGAGTGAAAAATCGGCGATTTGGTATCGTATAATACAACCGTCAGCGTTTCCCTTGGTATTGGGATCTATTACAATACATCGTTGCCGTTTCAGTCAAAGTCTCAAGCCATTTGCAATGGAGCGAAGGATGCCATTGTCTGTTGATGCTACATCCCAACTTCAATACTAGTAATACTTGCTTTTAACAAGACATAACCTACAATTACACGTTGCAAGGTTCAGCATCAAGTGCTTGGATGCATGTACATTGAGATCCCGCTCGCCTGAAAAATTATTTGCATTTCAACATATATAAACAGCTTAAGGTCAAGAGTATGGTTTATATCTGTCATGCTTATATCACATCCAATACACAAGACTTTTAAGGCTCAAAGAAACTGAAGCTTCCACATCAAAAGCAGCATAATTCCAGCTTGGAATCTTGGTCAAGGAAGGAATGGATTGTGGGAAGGACATTCCTCTTTTTGCTTTCTATAAGCCCTGAGAAGATGAAGACACAGACTATTTAGACCCTAAAATGTAATATTCATGCCAAAAGCCAAAAGTGAGGATCTTCATCATGCTGCTGTCTACCTTTTAGCATTCAATCCCCCAAGTCCAATCGTTCCCAGAACAATAATGAGGAAAGGTAGCTGAATAAATGCACGATTTCTTCTTCCCCCATGAGCCTTTGGTACTCCCGTTCTGACAACGTGTGAATATGTAGCTAAAGAAGAAAGACAATGTCTTAATAGCAACATAAAGAAAGAATATAGTCACTTAATACTTTCAAACAAGAAATTACCTGAAACTGAACCTTCTCCTTCTGCACCTGTGATAATCATATTATGTCGAATTTCAATAGCATGTAAAAATAATTGCTATTGCTATGTTTTCACTCATCTAATGTAATTATTGAAAGATGATAGTAGGATTACAATCATGGTTTGCAAACTCAATTCTACAGGTTATGTTCCAGAATAATGACATTCACATCTGCTAGATTAACTTTTAACCAGTTTCTGGCCAGTAGTTCTACACGCATGAGATCCAATCCCATCTAGTGGGAATTTAGAATTTAAGATCAAAGATGAAGATCCTATAAAAGTAAATGAAAAAAAGAAGGCTGTAAACATGAAAGGGAATGCTGCAATTAATCAAGTAGAGCTTTGTTAAGTAACACCAATTTTAATAAATTAAATCCAAAAAAATAACAACTCACCAAGTACTACGAGAAGAAAAAATAGGTGTCATGAGGATGCAAAGAAGAGGGTATAGGCTAAGATAGTACCAATTATGGTGATTGATGCAGACACAGATGAGCTCACCTACTAGATTCAATCCCAACTAGTGAGAATTTAGGATTTAGGATTTAGGATAACAGATAACTAATCTATAAAAAGTAAATGGAAAAAAAAAAGGGCTGCTTAAAGAGAATGCTGCAATATATCAAGCAGAGCAATTACCACCATCAAAATAACACAAATTTTAATGAAGTAAATCCAAAAATACTGACCAGTCAAATTCTAAAAGATTAAAAAAAAGAAAAGAAGAGGGTATAAGCTAGATAGTACCAATTGTGGTGATTGATGCAGACAGATGTACTCCCTACTAAAGAATTAGCATAAAAAAAGAAGTAAAACTGAAACAATATCGATGACATATTTATACCTTATACCTTATAATGTGATATGGCACAACAAATTACAATATAAGAATTGGTCTTTGACAACATCAATTACTTTTTTTTTAATCAATACCCAGTTAGTGGAAATAGGTATCTCATGGCTTACTCCATGTTTGATGAGCGACATTGAAGCTAAACTAATCCGTCAAATCATCATCAAGAAAATCGAGACCATCATCATCAGTGGTAACACCTCCAGCAGCAGGATTAACATCCAATGGTTCAACCAAACCAGCCAACGTGACCATTTCTGTAGGTCTCTTTTCTTCACTCTCACGTTCATCCATATCATCTCCATAAAATTGTTCCACCTCATTATAAATGATCTCCTAAATCAGGAATTAAAATAAAAATATAGTTATTTCTCAATACTTTAGTTAATGAGAACAGCTTAAATAGGAATGAAACTTACCTCATCTTCTTGCATGGCTTGCTTCTCTGACTCCACAAGCCAGTCATCTAATACACTTTCTAACATGGCACTGTCAAAGGAAACCAAATCATCAGGCTCCCTTCCTAGTTGCCGTTCTCTCAGTCGCAAGTTGTAATGAACATAGGCATGGTCATTCAATCTCTTCCGAGACAAACAGTTGCGTCTTTTGCTGTGAACTTGATCAAACACGCTCCAGGTATGCTCACATCCAATCGATGAACATCTCTGGCTTAGTATGCGTATGGCAATTCGTTGCAGCTCTAAGCAACTTATCCCATGTTGTTGCCACCATGAAGCTAATGATGAAACAATGATTAACAAAATTTCACTTAACATGAATTTTGCATGGCAACAAAATTGAATTTATCAAACACAAGTTCTTGAGCAAACAGGCTGCATAAAATCTTAGTTGAATCACCTGGATCAAGCTCACTTCTAGTACTTATGGCCAAATCAGTTCCAAAATCAGCTTTTGCCGACACAAAATCAGGTATCTGATAAAATCACATCAGAGCATCAGCTGAAAAAGAAATAATAACAACATAGCATAAATTAAATCTAGCAGTCTAGCAGAGATAAGAAACTGATACCTGCATGGATGCAGAAATCCTTTTCCCATTGTCTGACTCCAATCGAACAATACACTCATTTAGACCACGAATTACTTCAGGATTCTTCAGTAACAAAAACAGAAAAAGAGTAGAAATTAAGCATGGAAAAAACAGACAACCACGAAAAGATAAGGGTGAAGTCACTGTATTCATAGTTTTGTACCATCAGAAAATCTGGGCAGTAACGGAAGGATGGATTGAGAAAGTATGCAGCAACATAAAGAGGATGATGGAACAATGAACTCCAATTGTTTTCAATCACACTCCAGAAAGGTCCAAATTTACGCACATCGTCACCATGAATGGCTTTAATCGCAAACTTTGTTCTACATATGTCATTATAGATAGATGGCATTGAACGGATTTCATCACTACCTATCTTTTGAAGAACTTCAGCAACTGGCTCTAAGGATTTCTTCACATACTGCATCTTCTTCCAAAAGGTGACATTTAAGACAATTTTTTCAACCTCTCTACCTTCATCTAATTTGGAAAAGCGGGAGGAAAGCCATCGATTTGATTGGAACATTTTCTTAAGACCAACCCTCTGGTCCAACATACTCTGTAAAGTGAAAAAATTAGTGCCAAACTTGGTGATAGCTGGCTTAAGAAGTTCCTGTCCCTTTGTAAATTCTTTCTTCATAAAATTCAACAACCAGGTATTGTTATAAACAAACCTTGTCACCTTTTTTGCTTTATCTATGCATTCTCCCACCCATTTTATATTCAAAAAATCCTCAAGCATTCTATCAATGCAATAGACAGCACATGGTGCCCAAAATAAATTTCTCCTTTTCTCTTCAAGCATCTTTCCAGCATTCCTGAAACTCAAAGTGTTCCTAGTGATTACCTGGAATGGAAATTATAAGGAAAACAGCTCAGCAGGATGCACACTCACGCAGATATCAAAGTAGAACTCACAGAGAAACAAATGTAAAGATAAATTAACCTGGACTACATATTCCTCGCCAACCTCATCCACTGCTTTGTCTAACAACTTGAAGAGATTAGCTGCATCTTCTATCACATCAGTTGCATCAACAGAAGAGAGAAAACAAACACCGCGAGGACAAGAGACCAAAAAGTTAATCAGGGTCCTTCCCTGTGCATCATTCCAACTGTCAGCCATGACAGAACAACCAGTAATAGCCCATGATGCCTTAAACTCCGCCAGATACTCTTTAATATTAGCAATCTCTTCCTGTAGGAGACGACCAGATATGATTCGGCCTGAAGGACCTTGCAAACCCTGCCCATACTGACCAACCACTTCCAGCATTTTATGGAAGTATGGAGAGTTTGCTGCATTAGAAGGGATTCCAGCATGATAAAAGAATTTGCATATAGCAGATATTACTTCCCTGCGAGTTTTCTTCTCAAAACCTATTTTTGCTCTTGTTTGTTTGTAGTGTGCTGATGTCTGGCTTTTCAGCGACTTTAAAAATACCGAATCCAGTCTTGATCTTTTAAGTAGCGGTTCAGCACCATTACCACTACTACCTGGAGATCTACCTCTGACATTATTATTTCTAATGTCACTATCGGAAACTTTATCGTCAATAGCCAGTATGTCCTTACTTATACATTGCAAATACCCATCCTCCTCTCCACCTTCATCCTCATTATCCGAGTGCAAGTAGAAAGAAGATATCTCCTTGGTATCAGGTTTTCGATGCCTTCTGCCAGTACGGTGCCATTTCATATTTTCTTTGATTTTGAGATATACCTCCTCAGGCGCCTTT